CCCCGCCCGGTATTTTGGGGGAATCGGGGGGGGGGGATCTTGTTGAAATGGGATCATCGTTCTGCCACTGTTTATGGTGAAGCCAAGGTATTGTGCCAGGGCGGGCGGCTGAGGCTTCCCTCTGCTTCTCGCCTGGATCTCCTGTAGTGACTGAGTTTGGGAATCATCGTAAGGACCAACGTTTTGCCTTGGGCGCAGGCAGAGGGCAGCTGAGGCTTCCCTCTGCTTCTCGTCTGGATCTCCTGTAGCGACTGAGTTTGGGAATCCATCGTAAGGACCAACGCTTTGCCTTGGGCGCAGGCAAATTCTCCAGATTTGGCTGCACTGAGCTGATTCTTTACCTAGTGGGTAGATGAGAGGTGATTTCCCATTTTTCCCCCCCGGATACGGGTGTGCCTCTGCTCCCAGCTCAACAGCGGCCTTGCGCTTTAAGAGAAAGTCATAAAGAATGACGTTGAGACCTGGGTAGACCTTTTAATTATGGAAGCAGAGGAAGAAAACACGTCTTCGTAGCCTGTAGGGAAGCCTCATTCCTCGATCGCATTCTGTAGCATCCATTCGGAAGCTCACTTTAAGTGAGGCAGCCTGGCCGTTAAAGCCTTGGCAAGGTTATTTCTGGAACTTTGGAAAGTTTTCGCTTCCTGCCTCCCTGCTACCTCCGTTCTGCAACGCTCAGCCTCCTGAAGAGGCCCGTTGGACTCGAAATCTAGTGGGCATCGTTGTTGTTGTTTTTTTTTTTTGGAGTTTTTAGTGATCTAATAACAGTTTAAAAAGAAAAGGCCATCATGCTGGGAAAGGCAGAACTCAGCAGGAAGAGAGGAAGACCCAATGTGAGACGGACTCCCTCCCTTGAGGAAACCACAGGCTGGGGTTTAAAACAGGTGAGCAGGGCTGTTGAGGACGGTGGATTTTGGAGACGTTCCATTCATCGGATTGCTGCAAGTTGGAGGTGAACTTGGCAGCACATAACTAACAAACAGATAAATAATAACAGAACGGCAATATCCACCTTTGTTAGGTTTTAGTAGACAATTGTGGCGCACCCAGTGTGGTGTAGTGAGTGGAGTGGTGGGCTAGGACACGGGAGTCCCGGGTTCGAATTTCCGCTCAGCCATGGAAACTCACTAGAGGGGGCGTGGAACTGGTAAAACCACTCCTTCAATATCTCGCTTCCCTTGAAAGGTCGCTGTAAGTCAGTTCCGGCTTAGCATCCCACCATTAAGGAGTGGGAGGGGGGCCTCTCTGGAGCAGAGGCGCTTCTCACAACATCCGCTAGATGGCAGCCGCCTCCCAGAAAGACCCCCCAACCTGCGGATTCCGGTGGCACCTTGGAAAACTCACCCGATTTCTTTCCGAACGGCGGCGACTCACTTCTTCAGAGGCTGGGCGGACTTCTCAGGGTGTCTGATGGGTGTATTCCCCCTCTGTTTGGCTAAATAAGGTGCCTTACCCTGTAAGCATTTCCTACGGGGTGTCCCTTTTCATCTCGTTTGGCGAAACAAAGACCAGGCGTCGTCCAGGATCCTGAAGATGAACACGTTTGATCTGCTCTCGAGGACTGTCGTATCCCCGTTCCTTCGAAGGCGGGAGGGCTGCAGTTAGTCCAGAGTTACACCGAATGAAACGCAGCACTCTGCTTTTGCTGCAGCTGGTGAGCCCAGAGGCTCGCTTGGGAATTTCCTCCGTGGAAAAAGTAGCAGCTTCCAGCTTTCCGGCTGCCCTCTTGCAGGGTCGTTGTTCGTATGGGCTGCCAAGACGCTTCCAACGGCTGGTGACCCGATGAACGAGCCACCTCCAAAATCTCCCGTCCTCAACTGCCCGGCTCAGCTCTTGCAAACTCCATCCCACACCTTCTTTTAGGGAGTCTCTCCATCTTGTATCGGGTCTTCCTCTTTTCCTGCTTCCCTCCGCCCTTCCCAGCATTATTTATCTTTTCCAGAGAACTGTCCCTTTTCCCCAATGTGCCCAAAGCAGGACAGCCTCTGTTTCCAACATTTTTGCCTGCAGAAAGAGTTCAGGAGGCCTGATTTGATCCACGCTCCAATGGTTTCTATGACTTCTCATGCAGACCTTCTGGGTCCTTTTTTATGGCCCTTTCCAGACCCGAATCCCTTCCCGGCTGTTATCGGACTGATCCGTACGTCCCTCTTCCCCCTCACATATTCTGCTTGAGCAGCCCGTGTCCCACAATAGATTTCCTCTGAACTTCAGTTCGGGAAGGATATTTATTTATTGTATTATTTAATATAATTTTTATAGCTTGCGCTTCTCCTTGTATGGAGACCCAAGCCGGGTGAGGTCTGAGGCCACGTGAGGACTCAGCTTGTGCTGATTCCCATTTATATTTCTGCTGAGCCCCAGTAAATGCATATAAATCTCTCTCTCTCTCTTTGTGACCCACATATTAACTAGGTGTGTGTGGGGGGATGATGACATCCTTGCACAACGTACTGTCACAGGGCCAAGGTTTAACACACCCCACCCCACCCAATTTGTGATCTGACCCCATTCGCTGTTTGCCGGCAGGACGGCCACTTTTTCAAGCAGAAAAGAGTGACTGCAGAGGGTCGGGTGGAATTTGGGGGTTCCAGTCTACCTTGAGCTTGGAAATGTTCTATTTAACGCGTGAACCTCTGGAAATAACATTTTAAATCATCATCGTCCTGTGCAGTCAAGTCAATTCTGACTTACCATAACCCTTTCTCGGGGTTTTCCAGGCAGAGACGACTCGAATGCAGTTTCCCCGTTCCTTTCTTTTTTGGGGGGGTGCATTTCTGGGGCTCTTCTGCAGCCGGTCCAAGGCCACCCAGGCTGGCTGTTCTTCTCCCAACCTCTAACTCCGCAGCCAGATACCTAAACCGTTGAACTATTTTAAAATGACATTTAAAAACTGATGCTAACATGTTTAAAATTTTACTTTGGAAATATTATTTTTTTGGAAGGGTCCCTTGGCTTGTTCTGTTTAAGGCAAAAGTAAAACACTTTTAGTGTTAATATAAACTTGGCGTCTCCGGAGATCCTGCTAGACGCCCCTGCAGACCAAGATGAAAGGGGGGGGGGCTTCTTTTCACGCCTCCTTCCCCATCCGCTTTCTCCCTTTCGGCTGACGGCCACCCGTCTTTCTCATAGAGGCCATCAGGAAGTTTGGGTCCCAAATAATCTGCAGGGGTGAAGGTTTCTCTACCCTTGGGGTTATATTTTAGAAGGAGAGGAAGGGGCTGAGGACAGAAGGCAGGCGAAGCTGGGAAGCTTCTTCGGTTCAGGGGGACCCTGGGGCTTCCATCGTTCCTACTCCGCAGGGTTGTTAAGAAGATGCTGTCTTGTCTGTTTAATATTTACATTATGGGTGGGAAACAATCAGCCTCTTGAAATTCACATGCTTATTTTTTGGGGGGTGGGAGGGTTCAGGATAAGATAAGCCCTCCCCGGCTGACATTTTTCTTTCATTTCCTAGGAGTAAAGCTTCTACTCTGAAGCAAGCAACAGGCATTGCTGTAGTGCTAATTTTTGCTAAGGTTTCTCTCCCCCCCCACCCCTGGTGATGTGTGCGCTCCTTGCTGCCATTTTCTGTCGCAAAACATCTCTCTCTTAGCCCCTTCAAAAAAAAATTAAAATAAAATTAAATCTGCACACACCTAGCAGCAGCTCGGAGCCATACTCGAAAAAAAGAGGAAGGGATCAGGGCCCATGGTTGCCTGGCAACACGTAGTCAGTCAACCTGGAAAGGGGTCCTTTTTTGAGGAGGGGGCTCTGTCTGGTTGCTCAGCAACGGCTCCAACCTTACACAGAGATGCCCGTGGCATGCTTGGGGAGATGGGCGTATTTTGGCGCCTCCTCACAAACCTCGCTGGCTGCCTTTGATGGAGGGGTGTGGAGAGAAAGCGTGAAAGAGCGCAGGCACCGAAGCACCGCACTTTCCGCCGCTCGCTCGTGCTAAACCTTTGTCTCTTCCTCTGCGAGATGCTACACCCTCTGGAACGGCCGGTGTGTAGGGAGGGAGGCGGTTGTATGGAATCCCCAAGGTGGTCATTTGGGATGGGGCTGGGCTGGCATGGGAGAACTTTCCTGATTTTAAAAAAGTGAATAAAATACGGGATGTTTAATGCATGCAGAATTAACATGCCTTGTTTCTGAGCTCGGGATAAAAAATGTAGGTGAAGTCTGCGCTTTTGCAGACGTACGTAAGGTCTGAAAGCTTGAGAAACACCCCCTCACCCACCAGGTCTGCTATTTAATTACTACGATATTGCACAAACCCTAATAACATGTAAGGCAACCAGCACTAAAGGTCAGGGGTGGAGGTTCCAGTTCCAGGACTTGCTGTCAAGATGGATGAATTACTTGGCCTGGAGTGGACTTGTTTTTTTTTTTTTTTTTGCAATGACTTCTTAGACATGACTGGCCATTCAGACCCCACCTGCCCCTCCCTTCTTTCTGGAAGGGAAAAAAAGCTTGTTTTTAATAGGGACTTGGGACTTGAGACTTGGTACCAAAGACAAACTTGGAACTCAGACCTGAAGATTTGCCAGTACCCCTTGCTAAAAGGGATCACGATGAGCCAGCCCTGTGTAGAAGGCTATGTTTTTCTAGGAAGGGCTCACAGGTGTGGCCAGGAAATGGACTCAACCCGAATTAGGACCATTGCTGGTTGACCCCGGAGCCGTATCCTTCTCGTCTCTCCTCAGGTACAGGAGCGAGCGGAGAGAGAGCTCATCCGGGCCCAGATCCGGGAGCTGCGCAGCCAACAACACAGTGACACGAAGCCGCCAGATGTTCTGGGTGAGTCCAGGCAAACGCCGGAGGATGACGGGAGAAAAAAAACTGGGTGTGTGATTGATGTAAAATTTCTGGAAAGGGTGGAAGGGTGTATGTCGTTTCCTTTGTCTTTTTAAACGCAAAAAGGGAAAACGGATGTTAAAGGGGGGGAGGAGGAACTGAAACACCACAATGCTTACTCTGATATTGGCCCTAAACTTATGTTAGCAATTGAAAATGCTTAAAGAGGAGGTGGTCCTGTTTGGCGAAATTATCGAATTTTGGAACAGAGCGGTCTTTGTTTTAGGCGAGGAAGCTTGTAAAGCTCAGTGGCTTAGGCCTCTTGTCCGCAGAGCCAGAGGTTGGAGGTTCAATTCCCTGCCGGGCCTCCTTGATGGGTTGTGTAGGTCCTTGGCGTGCTCAGAATTTGTCCTTCTCTAGTCCGTTGCGGTGGCTGGTGATTTGAACGCACCAAATCTTGTCTTAGAAAAAAATGGCACGCATTCCAACAGAGGAGATACTTAACTATAGTGTTTTTCTAGGTGCTCTCAATTTTCCTGGTTTTCTGTCAGAACTTGGAGGAACTTGTTCACACAGGCTCCGTGGTGTGGGTGCTAAACCAGCTCGTTTTTGCTTGCCCTCGGTAACGAAAAGAGAGAGATTTTTCAGGAAATCTTCAGGAGAGATTTTTCAACTTTCTAGGATGGGCGAAATAAGGTCAAAAAGGCGGGGAACTACAAAATAATATTGATAATAAGAGTACCTAGGGATCATAGCTTTCTGAGGAAGCCCAGAGTGCTGGTTTGGGGTCCTGGGTGGTCCGGATCCAGTCCCAGGGTAAGATTTCTCATCTCTGATGAGACTGAGTCTCTTAGCTCTCGCGTGACGCTTCTAACTCTGTTTCCCTGCTCTCGTCTTTTCCGCGCAGATTCCTCTTTGGGGACTTTTCTCCTTCTGGATCCGGCTCCTAACCGGCCTCTCTCCGAGTCCTCCTCAGCCCCAGAGAGTGGTCCGGATCCTGATTCGAGCACCGAAGGCCCCGAGGCCAGCTCCCGCGACAGCGATTCTGGGCCCGAATCCCAGCCCCCTTTGAAGGAGGAGAGCGTCAGCGGCCAGTCGGCGCCGGAGGACGGGGAAGCGTTGAGACCCCTTGAAGGGGGATCCGCTGGCGAGACCATGCAGGAGAAGCTGGAGTTTTCCAATGGGGGGCAAGGGGTCTCCTCGGAAGGGGAGGCCCCTTCAAGGCTCTCAGTCCAGGAGAGCAGTGAGAAAGAGGTAAGCGTTCTCCCACCGGACAGACCGGGAGACGACGGAGCTGCCCCTTCTTGCGCTTGCGAGCCTCCATAGGACCAAGTTCAACTCCCCATCATCCCCAGTCCCACTCTGGATAGGATGGGAGTTGTAGTAAAACACATCTAGAAGTCACAGAGCAGGGCGATGACGGAGCGCCAGTTCTGCTATATCTATAAAGGGGAACCCTGTCTTCTTTTAAGGTTGTCGGCTTGCTTCTTCCAGAAGTGGCAGCTGGAGGTGGGGAGGGAAATCTAGATTTTGCACCGTGATGCAAAGGTCAAAAGCCCATGGAAAAGCAAGGTCTTTGCCGCCCTCAACCCTAACCTTGTTTCATGCGGAAGATGTGGTTTACCTTGATTAGTTTCACCGCAATTTAAACCCACAACTAACGATGTTCCTTAAGCACAGGGCTAATTTTTTTCCCACTCTGGATCACACTAAACTGCACCGTAGAGCTGTTTTTGCAGATTTCCCCCCCCCCCATGAATTTGCACGGAACCTCGTCCACGTCCTGTTTGTCTTGCAGCCGTGCTGTTCTGAGACTCACTTTTTAAAAATAGCTGTTAAACAGTTTAAGCCAAAAGGATTCA